CCCTCACATGTGCACAGACTCCCTGGCTAGACAACGAACAAACATGTGAAACTTCAGAAAGTAAAAAATAGAAGGTATTGTCTTTGCCTGTTTTGCATTTCAATGGGCAATATTGTACGGTTAACATAAATTTTGGACAATTGCTACAGAATCTTACCAGATTACTAACTCTAGTGATGAAATTTGTGCCCATTCATTTTGTTTTCTCACTTTCTCAGTTTCTCTTCTCTCTCTGTTTCTCCAGCAAGTGCATGCATCCTATGCAGTAAGTTATCTGGGGTGTAGTTTCCTACCACACTCTTAGTGACCTACCTGGGAAGGACTGAAGTGGTAAGTAGGGATCTGTGTGATGTCCACTGCAGACCAAGACCCCGTCAAAGACCAAGGTCTCCTGTTTCCCATCAGCCTCCACAACGACATCCCATAGTCCATTGAAAGAAAAATCTGGATGTTTCCTCACGCTCCGCACTTTGGTCTGAGAACGAGGGCACAGACACGGGTGGTAAACTTACTGCCATCCTCAGATTTAATCCCCCCTCCACGGAAGTCCGTTAAATCTGAACACTACCACTCACCTGAGACAGCACTCATTTAGCGCTCACTCCTGAGTGCTCCCATAATGGCTTTGCTGTGGGTGCATTTTCAAGATATTATGGCTATTTCATTAAAAATCTAATTTTCCAGGGCCTGTGGGTGACATATTGATTAAGCTGCTGGACTCCCACATGGCCAACTGCAGTTCAAGTCCTAGAACCAGTAGTTTGAAACTCACACTGGGAACATGTACACGTGTGCCCCGAATCCCAGGAGGGTAAAGGAGGAGAAGGAATTGCAGCAAGCCCATCTCCTCGGGGGGGATTTCTCACTTTCTCTTCTCTCTCTGTTTCTCCAGCAAGTGCATACATCCTATAGCAAAAACCTCTCTCTAAAAAAAGAAATTCTAATTTTCTACAGAAATAAAAATAGGTAAGATTTAACTGTGAGAAAAAATGGAGGAGCGACTGAAGACATGTAATAGTATCCTTTTTCCAGGGTAACTTCTACATAGAAGGAAATAATATTTGTGTTTTTCATATTTTTAGCACAGGCCTGTCCAGTTTCCTTGAGCCCAGCTTTTTGGGTTTCAGAGAGGAATTAATGTTTCATTATGACTAAAGAGGTGAATTTTTTAATGTGTGCATTGGGGATAGTATGATGGAAGACAGAGTGTGGAAACTATTATACATGGATCCCCCAGATTTTCTTGTGTTGTTTATATAACCTTGGTTCTTGTTGTACAGGTAATATAACTTGTTATTGATCTAAATCCCTAAAGATTTTTAATTTAAAGTGGAGAGAAAGAACTTTATGATGCCACACCAATATTATCTGAATAGATTCTATTGTGCAAAATTCTCTAGTTGCACATTCAAGTGAATTTTTCAAAACATTGCTTTATTATAAGTAATGATTTTCTTTTTTTTAAAAAGAACTATTTATTTAATTTTATTTATTTATTCATTTATTTTAATTTGACCAGAGAAAGAGAGAGAGAGAGAGAGAGGAGAAGTGAGAAAGCAATCCACCAGGTCCGGGACTTAAACTGTGATCGACCACATGAGAGTGTCCAGGGCTTTAACCACCACACCACCTACTGGTCCCTATAAGTGATGACTTTCTAGGAAGGAAGCTCATTAATGTTCTCTTCCTCTGATTATAGCGGAAGATGCTAAATATAACTCATATTTGCAAAAGTCCGCATGTCTACACACATGCACACATGCACAGACGCACACACGCACACATTGAAGATGCAATATTCCATGTAGATTTTACCTTAAAACGAATGTAGTTGAGGAGGCCGAAATGTTTGGCATACATCCTGAAGTAGTCCATGAGCTTGGAGTTGTGCATGTAGTTGGGAAAATGGTCAGGGACAGGGAAGTCGCTGAAGCACATCATTTCCTTGGACGTGTTGATGGTGACAGATTTGTAGATACTAGGCATTTTCTCTGAAGCATTTTTCTGCCAAAGAAAGCCTCTCTCAATAAAAACAAATTTCGCAATAGTAAGGGAAACAAAATACAATATTTTAAAGAAGAAAGATAATCTCAGGCATACTGATGTAGTGCACTGCCCTTTTTAAAATGATTTTTTCACTCTCCTATCTACTAGAGAAAAAAGTTACATTGAAGAAAAACTGAGACCTACGTCTGAATTCTCAAACAAAATGATGGAAGTCGGAAACAGTGGAACGCTACCTTTAACATGCTAAAGAAAAAGTTCACCTAGCTTTTCATACCCAGTGAAAATATTATTGAAAAATAAAAGCGAAATAAACACATACTGGGACCAGCAAATGGTGTAATGGTTACATTGCAGGATTCCCACAGAGTCGACCATGGTTCGAGTACCAGACCCGACAGCTTAAAATTCATGTCAGGCACATGTGTGTGCATGCCCAAAATCCCGAGAGGAGAATAGAAAAGGGAATGCAACATGGCCATCCTCCCTGGGAAGTGATGTCTTGCTTCTGTCTCTCTCTGTCTCTTTAGTGAGTGCACATGCCCTATAGCAAAAAAATTTCTCTAAAACAAAAATAAATAAATAAAAGGAAACATATATTCAGGCAAATGAAAGATGAAAGAATGTGCTACCAATAATCCAAGACTACAAAAAGTATGAAAGAAAGTTCTTCGGGCTGAATGAGAATAAATCGAGATGAAAGTCTGCAAATGCTGGGAAGAATAAAAACACTAGAAATTATAAATATGTGGATAAACTTAAAAAATGGATGGTTTAATAAACAAGAATGTGGAGGTCAGCAGGTGGCATGGTGGGTAAGGTGCTGTACTTCCACATGACCAAGAGTGGTTTGATGCAGTGGTTTGAAATGCAAGCCATGAGTGCCCCAAATCCCAGGAGGAGAATGGAGAAGGGATTGTGGCGTGGCCATCACCCATCGGGGGATTTCTCACTTTCCCTCTCACTGTCTCTTTTTGTCTTTCCAGTAAGTGTATGTTCCCTATGGCAAAACCTTAAAAACAAGAAAAAGGAAAAGAAAAAAAAAATGGCTGGTTAAGAGAGCCAGATCCCACATGGCTGATTTCAGTTCAAATTCCAGCCCTGGTGGCTTAAAACACATGCTTGGCATCCGTGTGTGCATGTCCCAAGTCCTGACAGGATGGAGAAATGGGGGAGAAGGGATTTGGGTTTACCGCACCACACTGAAGAGTGCTTCTTCTCTCCCTCACTCCTTGTCTCTCTTTCCTTGGCAAGTGCACATGCCCTCTGATAATTAAAACAGCAACAATAGCAATAGTGTTGCGTGAGGTTTGTAATAGATTGAAAAAGTAAAATATATGATAATACAAAAATGGGAAAGGGAAGTGGAGTTAAACTGGATTTTAGAGTTGTAAGATCCTTAATTTCTTCAGAAAGTGGAAAAAGTACAAACAAGGCAGAAATTAATAAGTCAAAGATACTTCTTTTCTTAGTTTTTAGGCTAATCATTAACAATACAAAAATGGATTTCTAGATAATTTATAAGACAAATACAATGAAAAGTAAAACCAAAAGAAAGAGAGAGAGAGAAATGAGGAATGAAGAAACAAAGATAGGAAAGAAGTCGAAGTATGCTGGGGCCTGCAGGTGGAGTGGTGGTTAAGGCACCAGCTCCCAAATGGCCAACTCTGTGGTTTGAGTGCCTGACTTGGAGACCTGAAAACACGCTGGGTGTGTATGTGTGCATGCCCCAAATCCTCAGAGGACAGTGGAGGAGAAGGGATTGTGGCATGGCCATCCCTGGCGTGGCGTGATTTCTCACTTTCCCTCTTTCTCTGTCTCTGGTGAGTCCATTTTTACAGGTTGAATCAGGATTTTATTCCTAGGAATATGTTCATGAGAAATGAGTGCTCATCCACTCGAAGATATGTACAAGAAGGTTCATAATTTCTAAATAGTGAAATAACCCAAATGTCCTTAGATAAAAGAATGGATGAGTAAATTGTGGTAGAGTCATACAGTGGACTACCATACAGCAATAAAAACGTTTTAATTGAATTATGGCAATTTTCTATCACCAGTGGGTTTGGCATACACAAATGAAAGAAGCCAGACACTAAGCCACATGGTAAAAACAACCCCAAATCCACCCACAGACAAGTGAATGACTACATGGCAGTATTCACATACCAGAATACTACACAGCAGAAGAAAATTAAAACACACCACTGCAACCTACACAGTCTGAAGGGATCTCAAATGCATAATGATAAGTGGAAGAACAGTGATTCCATAAACCAGCAAAAGCAATAAGTATGATAGAAGTAAAAATAGTGAGCACGGCTGCAGTGGCTCACCCTGCTAAAAAGCTGAGCTCTGCAGACTGGGGTCACAGAGGAGGCCCAGGTTTGATTCCTGGTCCAACCTGAAGACTGGATGTGGTGGCATGTGCCTGTTATTCCAGCTGCTTGGGAAGCTGAGGCAAGAGACTCGTGAGAGCTCGAGAGCTCTGAGCTCCAGGCTGGCTTGGGCAACACAGCAGGATGCTAGCTAACAAACATCCAGGTGTGAGATGGCAGGCCTGCAGGCCCCACTGGGAGGATGAGGCAGGAGGATCTCAAGAGTGAGCTCTAGTTAAAAGTGTTTGCTTCTGGCTATTGACTGGCAAGAAACACACAGGAACCTTCTAGGATACTGTGAATATTCTGTATCTTGGACTGAGCAGTGGTTGCAAAGATATGTAAATATGACAATGATCAAGATGCACACTTAAGATTAGCACACTTTATTCACTTTAATGCATATTATTAGATAAACAAGGAATAGGATCACATTAGACAATAAAGTAAAATCAGATTCTATGGAGACGGACCTAAAACACAGTAAAGTGGAAAATCAAATGATTAAAAAAAGATATGCTTATCATGGTTTAGCAAAGAGACTGCAAGTTTAGTAGTCTTCATACAAACAATATTATTCAAAGTAGAAGGAACAAAAGATATTTCATATTAATAAAAGAAACTATCCACCAAAAATACATAACAGCTATAAGCCTCTAAACACCAACACGTCCTTTCTGTATGTGGTAGAAATGCAAGCAGAAAGTTTGGATTATTGCCGAGCAGTTTAGAAAATGGACCCTGTTCACTGTCCCCCACTTTGGCCTGTAGATCAACCAGTGTGGTCCTTTTCAGATACAAATCAAAGGACCTTGTTCCTCAGTATAAAGCCCTTTAACAGATTTCGGTCTCTATCGGAGAAAGTCCTTCCAACAGTGTATAAACCCTGACACAGCTTACGAAAATATTTCCCCATTCTGAGAGCTGTTGATTCACGCTAATTACTGCGTTGAAGATAATGTGCATAGCATGCTCACCGGGACTGCTGAGAAACGTGTCCATGTTGGAATACTCACTTTGCAGGCTAAGTAACATGTGATTGAATGTATAAAAGATATTGAAATAAGATATATTTTTAAAAATACAAATATATTCTATGGTGATTATGTCAGATGTTTATGTTTGTGAAAGCTGAATAAAAGGCATACAAAAAATAAATAAATAAACCCTGGCATAATCTGGTCTTTCATCCCCTGTGAGACCATCTCACAGATGTCTCCTCCTTGGCTGCTAGAGTACAGCCACCCTGACATTCTAGCCCTTCCCTAACATTCAAGGCATCTCCTTCCCCATGGCTTTGCACCTAAAGGTCCCTCTGAAGCCTTCTCTCCAGAAAACTATTCAGCTTTCTTTCTTCCATTTCAGTTCTTTGCCTTTTCATTGAGGCTCTTCATGACCCTACGTAGACGAGACTGTCCAAACTCTCCTCATTTTATACTCTATCATTCTCTATAACACCTACCACCATCAACCACATTATTTGTTTATTTTTCTCTCCTCTAGAGTGTAAGCTCCCTAAGGCTAGCATTTTTGTATTTGTATTTTCTAGACTATTCTTAGAAACCTGTAAAAGTACCTGATGCATTGTAAGTGCTCAAAAACATTTGTTGAATGAATAAATAAACTCTGAAATTAAAGGAGAAATGAAATGGATATTATGGAATATTTAGAACTGAATTTCAGTTAAATAAATGTACAGGAAAACTTATAGGTTACAGCGCACTAGTTGGGTGACCCCAAGAGCAGGCTGGCGGTCTCTCTGAGGGCAAGTAGGTAAGGTTTTGGACACTGATTTGCTCCTAAGGTGCTGTACGACACTGATGCTGATTACTTTGCCAATAAGCCATGCTCTATAAAGATAGAGGCACCTCACACTCTAGCTCCTGAAGCGTGACCAGGGTGGGGCAGAGCCAGGAGCAAAAGAAGAAGATCAGTTCATTCGTGCACACCCTGAGAATACCAGCCATGACTGGTGAGCAGAATGGTTCTCTGGGGTTATCAAAACTGGAAAATACTGGCCAAAGTGCTGGACTTCAAAGGTAATTCAACCACAGCAGAGTGGAGCACCGAGAGCAGGTGGGATCACCTGGGAACGTAAGCCTATCAACATTTGGCACCAAACTTGCACCCCTTAAGGCAATACAGTTTTTGCTACCGAAAACCAAAAGAAAAAAAATATCCTTGCCCTCTGATAGACAAGAGAAGAAGCTATACAGGGACCAGCGAGTCAGCAGCGTGACCACAGGAATGAATCTGAGGCTGCAACGAAGACACTCAGCAATATGCCTTCCTGTCTGAGCCTACATGCATGCTCCATCGGGGAACGTGGGTTACCCTTGACCTTAGGCACCTTATCGTCCGATCAGTTGATGTCCTCATAACCATCCCTTTCTCATACTTCTAATGATCACATGGGATCTCAGCTTTTCTGAAAGAATTCCATATCTAAGTCTGAAATTGACACATGTTTATGTATGTCCTCAATCAATAACACGAGCAAAATTAGGGTCATTAAATCATTCTTAAATTAGGATGTGCAGAAGGGAAGTCATCAGCTATCTTGCTAGGGCTATTTTTTAATGTTGCATGCTTTTAAAAAAAAAAAAAAACAATTTACCTTCAATCACTGTAATCCTTACAGCATACCAAATTAATTTCCCCATCATGAATACACTGTTCATTGGTTCAAAGGCATTAGCATACACATTATCATCAGCAGATAATTTTTGAAAAGCTGTACACTAATTAGATCTATAAAAAATGAGAAAAGGAAAGAAAAAAAATCTAGTGCTTTCTATACTACTTTTGGTGCCTCTTTGTTAATCTCTCAGAAGAATGTTACTTTTGTAAGTGAATCTATGTGCTTTGTGCTTCAAAAAAAAAGGAGATTCCTCAAAGACCTACAAATAGAACTACCATATGATCAGCAATTCCACTCCTGGGTATCTACCCAAAGGATAGGAATGTACTCAACCAGAAAAGCACTTGCACATCCATGTCTATTGTGGCATTATTCACAATTCCTAAGACGTGGAACGAACCCAAATGTTCATGAACAGACGAATGGATTGAAACACTGTGGCATCACGGAACACTACTGTCATAGAAAACAATGAGACCCAGTTATCTGATAGAAAGTGGACAAATATGTAAGATTTACTGCTAAGCAAAGAAAGCCAGACTATGAAAGTGAGGCACTGTATGTCCCCACTTACTATATACCAAATGTATGCACTTTAGGGTAGAAACTAAAATATCAGACATGGCCATAAAGGCATGGCGACCAACTGCGGATACCAGAGACAGTGTGAGAGGAAGGTGGGAAATGGGGAAGAGTGGTGGGTGGGGGAATAAAAGGGGAAAAAGAAAGAAGCAAAACATTTAAGGGACACAAAATGGAAAATTATCTGTTGAAGATAATATGTATAGTAATGTCTTTGATTGAGCTAATATACAATGTATTCTATATGGGAAAATTCATTTTGTATGCTGTAAATATTTACATTGAATGACTGTAAAGAATAACTTAAGATTTTTTTAAAACCTCAAAATTAAAAGTAAATCTTGTAAATAATAAAAAATATAATAAAATAAAACAAAGCAAGTTACATGCTTAAAACAAAAAGACTATCCAAACTACCTGGAATTTCCAGAGACCTCCAATATCGTCATTCCTTTCAAAGCAGGTGGGCTCCAAATCTTCATCCAGACAGCACTTGATGGCCCCCAGCCCGCTGATCCCCGCTCCAATCACAGCGACCCTCTTCTTGGCCATGGCGCCTCGGCTGGCTGGTGGAGACCAACAGCGGTTACTACCTAGTGGGAGTAACACAAAGGCAACCAAAGCTACCCTTTCATAAGGACTATCGGTTTGCTGTTATAAACTTAGATTGTTCTTATTAGCAATGAGAGCACCAGTATGCTGGTCACCTAGCAGGGACAATGATAGGGACAAGGGGCATAAAACTATACACAAATCGATTTCTTTCTCCAAAACGTCTCTGTATACTCAGAGAGAGAGAAAGAGAGAGAGACACGAGCGAGATGCAAACATGTAATTCCCAGGTCAGGGACCGAATACAATACGGCATCACTTCTCTGCAGGCAGTACAGGGAAGAAGTACCTGGTCTGCTGGGGGGAGAGACTCAGATAAAAATACCGAAGGGGGAATGAATAGGAGCTGGCAGGTGAGAAAGCAGGAAGGGCCGTGTGTGTGTGTGTGTGTGTGTGTGTGTGTGTGTGTGTGCATGCACATGCATGCGTGTGTGATACTGTAGTCAGTAAGAATAAGACTGAAAATTTGGTGGTGGCCATTTGTGATCTTTGCCTAAGAAGTTCCAGTGGCACGTGGGATGGAAGCCATGGTGTAGGAGTTTGAGGAGAAAATAAGACCAGAGAACATAGACGTGACGGCTGTTCATTATATTCCCAAAAGGCCTATGAAAGCAAAGTAAGTCCAACATACTGGCTTTTCTCTTTTTCAATGATGTCATAAAAGTTAGCTGCAGATCTTTTTAAAAAATTGTATTTTCAAAAGTAGTGTGAAGGTATCATAGTTCTTAGAATGAAGTATCTTAGCTAGTATCTCTGAGCCTTAGGGGGTGCATTCATTTGTTCATCCCTCCGTTTACTTGTTCGACAATCACTTACTGATCTCCGACAATGGGCCGAGGTTTGTATTTGTTGCTGAGGCCACAGAGAAGAGTATGACACAGCCCTCGACCTCCGGGCCTCACTCTAAAGGCAGAGGGCAGGGCACATGGAGTTAAAGACAACTCTGCCACGGCTGAGGTTAAGAAAAGCGCAAATCGCGTTTCGATCCGGCCAAGTCACTTGTAGTGACTGTAGACTTTGGCCCTTTCCCTGTAAAAATGTCATTTGTCACAAAAGCTGTTTCCTGTAGAAATGCCCTAACCTTTTCTACTGGTTCCCTTCTAATTACCATCTTCCCTGAAATTTTCAGACACAGTTAAAAGTTCATCCTCCTTGGTAGCCACACTATCACTGCATTTAACATATTGTTTTATTACTTATTATTCTACCTCTCTTATTTTGACTAATAATCACCTAGTAAAATTTGAGACTCATAGCTAACAATGAATAAATGTTGATGGAATGAAATTTGAGGGAAAATATTAATTTCTAAACATTGCTACTTTTCTTTTAGTTGCTAACATGGTTAGCAAATAAAAAACAATAAGAACACTATTTGATACAGATAATCAGATAAAATATATTAACGACTATCCCCACATCCCCCCCCCTCCCCATAAACCAATATATATTATATGGCAAAGATAAGAGACCAACCTTTGGCAAAAAGAAAGATCAAGTTTGATTTCAGCTTCTCAGGGAAAGTTGATCTATCTTCTCTCTGTCTTTTTTGAAACAAAGTAACTCCACAGCAACAGGAACCCTTTTATAGCCTATTGAATTAGTTGCTGGGTAATCCTTTCCCATGACTCTTCCAATTTGGATTAAAACATTGCCATGAGCCTTTTAGGGAAGGGACCATGTCTAATCTAATAGCATGTATAATTTACTCACTGATACTGATACCGATCTACGGTAAATTTTACTTCTGTTGGCACCCCGTAAAGACCATCTGAGCAAAATCATTGGCATCAACTTGGAAAAATAAAATATCTATTTCATTATGAATTCACTGGTCACAAGTCAAAACATTTTGATCCTTTTAGATAATTTTATGTTAAGAAAAATTTCAGTGGAGACAATGAAAATAGTATTCAACTAATGCTTATAATGTTCGTGAGAAAGCGGAACAGGCTATAAATGATAAAAATAAATAGACCAAGTTACTACTAATTACTCTATTTGGGTGACAGAACAATGATTGTTAGTACTTTTAACCTTTATGCTTTCCTATATAAAATATATACATAATTTTCAAAAATGATTGCTATTGGGACCAGCAGTTGGGGTAATGGCTATGTTGCTAGACTCCCCATGTAGTTGACCATGGTTCGGGACCCGGATCTGGTGGCTTAAATTCACGCCGGACAGTGTAGCCATCCCTCTTGGGGGGTGATTTCTCGCTTTCTGTCTCTCTATGTCTCTGTCTTTCTGGCGAGTGCATGAGCCCTATAGCAAAAACCTCTCCAAAAAAAAAAAAAAAGAAAAAAGATTGCTATTAAAAACCTAGTCTTTGAGTTCTCAGTTACAAACTGCATCCTTGAGTTCAAAGGGAACCTGAAAATTGTCTGTCCAATCTTCTGGCAAACACAGGAATCCTCTTTACAGTGTGCTTCAGACATATTAATCAGGTCTTAGCTATATGAGGTGATAAGGCCGTGCTGTTTCAGAAAGAGCGCATTATATTTTCAAAAAGTTCTGATCCTTAGGAAGGGCTTTCTTACCTTCCACTAATGTCTGCTTTTCTAACCGATGGACGGCAGTCTTCACTCTGTCGTCCACTGTTTTCTATCTGATGGCTCTTTGAGATAGCTATCATACCTTATTGAAGCATCAATTTATTACTATTTTTATTTATTATTTTTTAAGGTTTTAGCACTGGAGAGAGAGAAAGACAGTGAGAAGGAAGGTGAGAAATCACCCCCCTGGGAGATTGCCACACCCACCACAATACCTTCTCTTCCATTCTCTAGGGATTTGGGGCATGCACACACATGCATGCAGCATGTTTCAAGCTGCCAGATCTGGGACTTGAACCATAGTCGGCGATGTGGGAGTCCAGTGCCTTAGTCACTATACCACCTTCTGGTCCCTCAGCTTCTCTTTAACCAGGAAAATGTCCACGATCCATTCAACTGCTCTACTAATACAATGTATGATACAGTATGTGTTCCGGGTGCTAAGTAAGTATGTGTAGGATTGGTCTTGAGAATGAGACGCTTTTATTCATAGGCTGCCCTCACGCTCCAAGAAAGGGAATTACTCATACAAGGCACAAGTCACCGGGGTCATCTCATAATCCTGCCTATCATGGCAGCCACAGTGTTATGGGAGTAACATAGTGCTTGCTGAAGCTCATGCCAGGTGGGAAGGTCCTGGGTTTGCATCCTGAGGGCTCCCTGTACACGGAAGGCCCACACATGCCTTGGACCCTGGCTGGCTGAGGCGTACAGCATGAAGCCTCTGGTGGGGATGCCTTTCTCTCTCCGTCTCTCATGAATCTTTGATAAAAGGATTCTGCCTATCCACAATATTGTTGTCTTCCTCCCCTCTGATCTTCACTGGTCCCATGGTTCCACATAAAGGCATTGTATGCTAGTATCATATGATAAGATATCCTTTTGTCTGTCAATACTTTTTGTTTTTTGGAGAGGTGTTTACTATAGGGCGTGTGTGCTCACCAGACAGACAGAGACAGAGAGACAGAAAGCGAGAAATCACCCCCCTGGGGGGATGGTCACGCCGCAATCCCTTCTCCTCCATTCTCCTCTTGGGATCTTGGGCACGCACGCACACGCATCTGGCGTGAGTTTAAGCCACCAGGTCTGGGACTCGAACTGCAGTCAACTCTGTGGGAGTCCAGCGACATAACCATTACGCTAATTGCTGGTCCCAATACTCTTTGATATACACAGGATAATGAAAATATTATAATAGAAAAACCTCAATTATGATTAATTGATAAAATTAGAAATGTAAAAACAAACAGAAAAGATCCAAATGCACAGAAGCTCTTTGCTACATTCTAATTTAATGACTTATGTAAAAGTTGGGATTCCACTGTGACAAGCATTCAGTGCTTTTTTTAGTATAGTTTTGTTCAATACACAAGTTTTAGGAGGTGGAGACCATCACAAATGTACTAAATGCACCAAAACCTTCAAATGAGATTTTCTTATTTCTATGAAAGGTCTCTTATTTTCTCAGTTTTGTTTTCCTCCTTCCAAGTAAGACACACAGCTCCAGCGACCTCTTCATCTCTCTCACGGACCAATGCGCCGTGTCCAAACCTAACCTGTAAGATCTGTAAGCATACAGAGGCCCAGAGCCCCTGCCTCTATGTGCCCCCCCCATTCCCTTTAAAGCAGTCATCACGTCTCACGCGTGTCTTTCCTGTCCTGATGTCTCACACTGCTTGTCTTGGTCAACAATGCTCGTTTCAAGCTGCTATAATACAACATCTGAGACGGGGTAGTTTATAAAGAACATAAATTTCCTTCTCACTGTTCCGTAGCTGGGAAGTCCAACATCAAGGTGCCGGTACCCGGTGAGGGCTTTCTTGCTGCGGCATCTGATGGTGGAAAGCCAGAGGATGAGAGAGAGTATGAGAGAGCAGGAGGGAGCCAGACTCGCTTTTGTAACAACCCAATCTCACGTAACTAACCCACTCCTGTAACTACGTTAATCCCCCTCTTACCTGGCCCCACCTTTCAACACTGTTGCAATGGGGGTTTAACTTTCTGACACATAAACTTTAGAGAACTTAATCAAACCGTAGCACTAGTCTTTTAGAGGTGGATTTTAGAGGAAAGAAGGGATAACTATGCACTTATAACCAGTCAACCTTTTTCCCTAAAGCATTTATGGAAACTCTTGCTTCTCAAATGTAAAATTTAATGTAAACAACGTAAGTTAGAAGAGAAGTCCTAGTTGATTCAATAGCTCTTAGTCTGGCAGAGAAAAACCTTTCTATATACCCCAAATATGAAGAGTGAACACACTATCTACTGTCTTCTCACTTGGATTCAGTTTCTTGTTTTTGCTTTGTGTGTGTGTGTGTGTGTGTGTGTGTGTGTGTGTGTGTGATATATTTTCTATACAAGAGGAGCCCTTATTTCACT